GGCGGCGCCAGCAGCAGGAGCCGCTGGAGGAGCTTGAACCAGCAGCTGCCATTGCCGAGATACTGAGCCAGAGGTGGCTCTGGGAGGAACTGAAGAAAACCCCGGCTGGGGTAAAAGCACAGGTCCCAGCCCAAAGGACGCACATGCCTAGGGTATTTGATGCGAGGGGAAAGGAGGGCCGACAGCTCTACCGTTTCCCCATCTCTTTTCTTGCTCTCCTCTTGACCCTTTTTCCTTCCTGGTTTTGGATCATCCCTGGCGTGTTTGTAGCATTCCATTGGTGTAGGGGTTTTTTTGTTTGTTTGTTTGTTTTCCTTTTCTTTTCCCTGTACTATTTCTTTCCCTGATGAGCGCAGGCTTACCCAACTCTCCCTTGCTGGGTTTTGGGAACCAGAGGCCCCAATAGGGGAATTACAGGCAACGCAGAGATGTGGCAGCGACCGGCGGCATACTTCTTCGAGCACCCGGGGAGTCAGATAAAACATCTCCAGAGGCAGAACGTTCCGAGACCCTCTGGGCCTAGTGGGGGTCCAAGACATCCATCCGCGAAGGAGGAAACGTAGGAACCAAGGAAGATATCAAACGGCCAGCCACAGAAGATCCCGAGGCTTGTCTTGAAGGTTGGCGCATGGCCAGGGTGTAGGTGAGGTTGGAGCCCCGGGTACATCCGGCAGGAGACGTGACAATTCTGGAGGTATCCTCAACAGGAACCCCCTCCACTGAAGATCTATCTGAAGTTGTGGCAAGTGAGTTTGGGGGCTTCCCCAGAAGCGATCGGGGACCTCTCTGGGGTTCACACAAAAGTACTTGGTGCCTAAGACCAGGTGCCCAACACCAGGTGCCCATGCTAAGGCGGCGCGGTAGCGGAACATCGAACAGAGACGGGCACAGCCGCCTATATGTTTATCAGGGGTGCTCACCAGGATCCGGGGGAATGTCTGTTTACCAGCATGTCCCAAGGGATGACAAGGTCAAACGGTCACAAACACCTCCATGACCGTTTCAGGCTGGACATAAGGAAGAACTTCTTTACTGTCCGAGCCCCCAAGGTTTGGAATAGACTGCTGCCAGAGGTGGTTCAAGCACCTACTTTGAACGCCTTCAAGAGACATTTGGATGTTTATCTTGCTGGGATCCTATGATCCCTGCTGACTTCCTGCCTTGGGGGCAGGGGGCTAGACTCAATGATCTTCGGAGGTTCCTTCCAGGCCTAATGTCCATAAATTTATATCTATAAATTTTACATGCACTTAAGAGCTACTTTATTTGTAGTAATACTGATGCCCTCATCCCGGGGGACTTTCATAATAGGTATATGTAGATATTGGTAGTTTGACCAAGTTATCTGAAGTTTCATTTAACTGATACTGAATGCATTTTCCACAAATAATTATTAAAAAAAAAGCCAAACCAATACTACCTTAAGTGTACACGGTACTAGCAACACTGGCACAAACCCTAGGTCAGGATGCATAGCACCTTTCCTCACTAGCTATGCAAGTGTTTGCTAGCTTGTTTCCTAAAATTCTCCAGTAATAACAATACATACCGTTATCTTTTTGTAGAGAGCCATGACATTGTCATCATCAAATGGGAGAAAACCACATAGTAGAGCATACAATAATACCCCCATGCTCCAAATATCTGCCTGAAAAACAATTAAATGACAAGTATGAGATATGGCATCTCTATTTACAAGCATGTACCAATTGCTTACTGTGATAAAACATACTGATTCAATTTTTGATTGGATACAACACAAGTAACTTTAGCTCCAATATCCCTTGCATGTGAAAGTGTTTGTTCCAGGGATGAGTAAGCTTACTGGTGAATTTTGTTAATTCTGCCAATACTCAGTTTTAGGGTAATTTATCATTATTAAGGTACTGCTAAGAACTATAGCCTCCACATAAGTTCTTTTGTTTCTACTTGATATAAAACTCTCTTTATCCAGCCAAGTCCTGGTACAAATAAGGGCAAATGCATTGGATTGTTTTACTTGAAAGTGTCAATTCTGATAATGAAAACACAGGTGGTGCGAGTGCTAGTCTCATTCACCATCACACCAGGCATTTCCAAGTGAATTGTACTGTCATTGGGGATGGCAGTTCCTCAGTTCAAGGATACCACAGCTCATTGATAACCCAAGGTGATTTATGAGTCCAATCCTTGAGCCACAAATCTGTCCACAGAAGTTACTCTTCCACAGAGACTTGCAGGATGTAGGATTCCTCTCTATTTCTGCTTAGAGGACAAGATGCTTTACCTCAAAACAAGCTGCTGCTTGGTTGAGGTTTCAGTGCCAATGGAGTCTGTTAGTAGCTAGTGCCGCCCAGATCTTGATGCTACCATGTTTTCTTGAGATATTGTTTCAGTGTGTCCTTGTAGCATTTCCCTCTGGCCACTACAAGATCTCAAGCCACAATTAAACTGGGACTAGAGAACTTGTTTTGGGAGTCCAACAAAAGTAGCTGTCCAAGAATCACAAACTTGTTGCTGGTAATGTTGGCTTCTGCAAGGATGCTGGCATTTGTGCAGTAATCTTCCTATTTGATGTTGAGGATTTTCTGGAGGCATTGTTGATGATGCCTCTCCAGACACTTGAAATGACGACAGCAGATGACCCATGTTTCACATCCAGAGTCATCATCCCCACTCTCCTCTAAGTTGTAGACGTGGATCTTGGTGTTTTTCTGGAGGTCGTGATCAATAAGAGACATGCTGAAGCAATTTCCCAAAAGGAGGAAGTTGCACAACAGATCCTGTGCTGGATTTCCTCAATGTTCACTCTGAGAAAGGTGGGTATGAGGTAAGGGAGGTGTTCGCCTACCTCCTGGATCCTTTCCTTTATGGTAGTGCTCATATATACCACATTCAGGATGCAGAGCAGTCTGGTAGAACACTTTAGTCTTCTCAACCTTTACAGAGGGGCCCAAAATTTCTGTAGGCTTCTGCAAAGATCAGCATGATCTAGAAGTTTTCCTTAGCGTGAGCAAGGATGTCAGTGTATTGAACCTTAAGAAAAGTATATTAAAAAAATACCTTTGTCTTTGATCAAAAACGTTCCAGATTGAATACAAAACAGATGGAGGGCTCTTCAAAGTCAAATCTGGAAGGGAAGGTCCTGATGTTGTTCCTGATAGGCGAAGATCATATTAGTTACCCCACAGGATGGTCTGAAGCAATACTGAGATTCTCGCAGGTCTTCATCAGCAAAAATTAGAGGATTGTGCAGGAGGATGCTTGAGAAACAACATCCTCTGCTGTTGATAAGACAGGAGTAACTTGATAGTTCCCACACAGACTTATTGCCTTTCTTGAATATGGTTACAATGGTGGCATTGCTCAGGGATTTCTTTATTGTTCCAAATTTGAAGAACAATTTGTGGAGCTTATTCTAGTTCCTCACTGCTAGCCAGAATTCTATTGCAGAACAGGGTATGGCAAACTAAATCTGTGTTTGCCGCTGGCAAACAGTAAAATCAGCAACTTTCTCGGTTTTTCCATGGGAAACAGACAACCCAGATCCCGATTATTATAGTCACTAGAGCCAGCGTGAGCATGGCTGATATCAGGGGATGAAATTTTGCAGTTTAGTCACCAGTAGCAAGCAAGAAAACTTAATTCAGCAGTGATAGCTGTATTGTCTTATACCAGGGGTATCAACCAAGAGGCAGCAGAGGAAGTGGCAAAAGCAGCTTGAGAAATGAGGAAGACTATTTACAGACAAGTAATTCTCATGTGCCAAGTTCAAGTTGAAGGCAGGACTGACAAGAAATTCTAGGATATTGGAAGGGATTTCAGGATACTGCCTTGTTGCTCCACTCTAGCATCGGACACATGGAGACACTTGAAAGAACACAGAACGCGATCAAGCCAAGAATAAGGAGCACACCAAGTACTGTGTGCTCCTGTGGAATGAAAATGCGATTGCTTCTGCAGTTGTCACAGTAGAAGGTACATACCTAGCCTCAGGAGTTTAAGAAAGTCTGAGGCCAAGTTATACTAGACGTGCAATTCAGAGCATGTCTAAAGTAAGCCGTCTGAAGAAAGTGAATTGTGCTACATACCTCTGAGCCAATATAAGCTTTGCCCTGGATTAACTCTGGAGCTGCATAAGCTGGGCTCCCACAACACGTATTCAGATGATAATCCAAGCCACCCTATAGCAAAACACAACTAGTCAGTCATATATAATAGTATTCATGTTTAAGACATTTAAAATGTCTAACTCAAACTGTACTATGGTATGAGAAAAAAGATAAAGTCTTTGAGATATTGCTAATATATAGGTTTGCAAGTGAAAGCAATCTGATCAAGACAACTACTCTGGAAATGTAGCTTAAGATGCCAACTTAATTTCTGTATTAATTGAGGCATGCTGTATAATGTACAGCTACACTGGAGCATAGAGCTGTGTTACTGTGGCTGGAGAGCTTCTGATACCTTAGCTAGATGATTTATGGCAAGCCAGGTACCTTTAAACTGCACTAGTTTGTGCAGCAACAGGCATCTCCTGATGTGAAGGGAAGTCCAGGTGTACTCAGGAGACTTCAATATTATAAATACTGTCAGTCACGAAGCACCACCTGTGTACCTACACTGACATTTAACCAAGTACCTCTTTGGATGTACTTTCCAAGTCCCAGGGCAATGAGATATCAAAGATGTTCTCACATTAAAGAGACTTTGTTATCCATTGTGGGAACTGAAATTACATTCCAGAGCCTGAACATTATCAGTCTTATTTTAAACCGTTCATTAAAGAGTTTGCTGTTTAGTTAATTTCTACCCACTAGATTGGTTCCAATTGGCATTGAACTAATTTTGGCCATCTCAAAAATTCAAATAGCTAAATAGTAAGAGTTTTTAAATATATGAATTTGAGTTATGATCCCACAGAAAACACAGGAATTGGTCCTCTAAATACCAGCTGTGCAGACTACACAATATCCAGTTACAGGACCATATCTTTGGAGCAGCCAAAGCTAAAGCCAGTTCTGAGGCTTTAACAGATCCCAGCTTCTTTATTCTAGGTGCTGTACAGAAAGAAGTCTAAGCCTAAGCTGGATGGCAAAGGACAGGAAGGGCAATGGAAGTTCGCTTTGGTCAATCAGTGTTTTAAAACAATAAGCTATTGCCCCACTCACCAGTATAAATTTGCCTGTCAATACTTTTCCTCATTAGAAAAAATGTTAAACTTTAACATCTTTACAGCATTTGAGAATGAGCTATATTTTGGTATACCAATGGCATAAATTTGTTTTCATACTGACCTTTGGCTTTGCACAGAGACCAAAGTCTATCAGCTTCAAATTATGCTCTGCATCAATAAGCAAGTTCTCCTGAAGGAAATAAGTGGAAGTAATAAGTACCTTTCATATAATTATCCATGTAAAGCATTTAATTTTTTCTTGCTTCTTCCAGCCAATTACAAGTATTGTCCCCCAACCAGTTCTCCCCATCATGCCTTTTGAGTTTAAGTCCATCTCCTTTAAAAGGCTACAACAATGCTTTTACTAGGCAAGATGGTCTCAAGATGACCGCCAAACCTACATAAGTTACCCGTGTAAGCTGCTCAGCACAGAGCTTATACAATGGCTATAATCCTTAAAACCAACCCCCCCCCCGCAAAAAACAAAAACAAACAAAACCAAAGTTCTAATTAGTGGGTTGGCCAATACATTGCAGGGCAAGCCCAGCAACATTTGCCCACCACTACTCTTGTCATCACCAATTAGGGAGTATGAAAGAGAAGACAGCTTTTGCACTGCTCCTCTTTTCAGTCCTGAGCAAGCACATATAGGGCACTTTTACACAGGCTCCAGAAGTATTGGGGGGCACTTTAGAGTGGCTCTTGGAGCCACTCTAATTAAAGTGCTGTAGTATCACATGCATTAGCATCCCCACACTTCAAAACGCCCCTGTTGTTATTTTGAAGTAAAGCTCATTAAACAAGCTTTAATTCAAGCCCCCCTCCCCACCCCATCACCATTTTGAAGCGTGGGGATGCCAGTACAAGACATGGAGGCTTCTGGAGCACAATAATTGGTACACTTTAACAGACTCCATTAATTGAGTCTGCTCCAACACGCTGCAATTGTCTACAGGCACTCACAATATGCAGAAGCAGTGAAGACAGCCCTCTACTGAGGTAGAAGCTGGCTCAAAGCGAAGGATAGTGATTGACAAGAGCTTGGAAGTCTGAATATAGGACTCAATGCCCTTGTTAGTCACAAAACTTTCCCTGCTCCAGGTTAACCTCTACTATTCTTTGAGAGAACCACCATTTGCAGGCTCCACATGGAGCAGCATACAATTTCTTTGATAGAGACAAGTGTTGTGCTGGTAAGAATGCAACTTCAAATGAAGAGGAAGGAGAAAACCATGAAGCAGAACACATAAGAGCAAAACCGCAAAAGAGTATACTTATTCTAAAAGGGAGATTTAGCTGGGTTGGCAGTCTCCAATTGAAGGGACACTGGATAATGTACTTGTTCCAGTCAGAATTTTTTAATAAATTAATTACAAGTCAAACTTACCGGCTTAAGATCCCTGTGGGCATATCCCTGACTGTGCACATAAGCAATTGCTGAAATAATCTGACGGAAAAATATACATGCTTCCTCTTCTGAAAGGCGATCTTTGGATATTATGTAATCAAACAGCTCTCCTCCAGGACAATACTACAAGGTAAGAAACAATAGTAGTAGATAGTTTTTCTTGAATAAGTATCCTTACACTTCCAGAGCACTGTAAAATAAAAAAGATCCCGGGCAGGCTAATATAGTACACTTTGCACCATTCCTTTTGTTCTTTTGCAGTGGTACCCGAACATTACAATAATGCCTCATTCCTGATCGGGTATATGAAGCTGTACAAGCAGCAAGACTTTATTCCTGCTTGAAAATACACTTGGGGAAGCAGGGGGGGTGGGGAAAAAAGACAGACGGACACCATTGAACTGTGATAAACACTAGGAAGGCAACTCCAACTTGGTACATTTGCACACATACACTTCTTCATACTACTGAAATATAGGTGAAAGCAATAGGTTAAAAAAAAAATCAGCTTGCACACTGAACTTCTGCTGCAGTAGTTACTTCTCAGGAGAAAGTCAGGTGAAGGATAAATGACTTAATGGACCACAGTACAGATGGATTTCTAAGAAAGATATAGAAACAGGTGGAGGGTCTTGCAAAAAAAGCAGATGCTACAGCAAGTTGCCATCTTATATCAATGATAACTACAGTAAAAGTATTTCAGATATACATGAAGAGGTGGAGTTAATGAGGACCTTCAAAGTACTAAGTTTCAGTTTGAGGCAATGAAAGACAAGACCCTGGACCAACTAAAAAGGTCAGAGCAGATTTAAAAACAGACAAGGATAAAGCAACTGTGTTTCAAAGGAGCAAAAGGGAGGACTAGTAGTAATAGCTAGGTTGCAAGGGATGTCTCATCTGGCTTCCCTACTCAGTCAAGTGTTTCACTTTTCGCTTCCCTTGCACTAAAAATGATGCTGCAATGTGTGCAGCCTGAAGTTGCAAGTAAATGCGGCAGTCTTTCCAAGACATTTCATTTGAGAGAAAAATCTGAAACTGCCAGTATGAAATGGATGTCCCTCTAACCACGTTCACCTTATGAGAAAGGTGAGGTACTGAACATAATTAAGGACTCTTAAGAAGTGAGCTTTTAACCACTCTATACTTCTTAAAGTTAAAAACAATAATGCTAACTATCCCAAGAGTGGCATTAATGTGCCTATTATCTAACCTCTAAAACCATAAATATCTTCTTGGGTGTTTCCATCACATGGTATAATCGGCAAATATGTTGGTGACTCAAGTTCTTCATTGCATCAATTTCTATTTTAATACGAGGCAGATCATCCTAAGAAGCAAAAACAAGTTACACAGCTGCAGATAACAGTTTAAATGCTCTTCAAAGCTACTAATATTAAAATAGTAGCAACCAAAACCAGTTTTTAATATATATCCTCAGATCAAACCAGTAATAAACTAGAATGACTCCGCAAAGATTTCAGAAGCTTGACATATAGTTTAAACAAAAGTTTAGCACACATTTAAAGGCAGCTCGCATTTCTCTTGGAGAAACTTAAAATTAGTTTTATATTATGCTATTCCAATAAAAAGATTTTAAAACGTCAAAGTTTGGGGTTTTTTGGGAGAGAGATTATTAAAACACTTATATGACATGCACTTAAAAAGAGATATATACATCTGGTTGAGGATATTGAGCATCTGCTCTTATAAGCTTCTCTTACCCCCAAAGCGAGCTTGTCCATAATTTTTATTGCAACTTTTTCACCAGTGAGTAGATGGCGAGCAAGCTTAACTTTGGCAAAACCACCTAAATTCAGAAAACAGCATTTAGAATTTGAGATGGGCATGAACTCTTTTCCTCCGTAATTCTTTTATAGTCATTGGAAAAATGAACCTTAAACAGTTTACAAAAACCCTACGTTGCAGCAGAACAGACAAGAGAATGAAGTCTCAATTATAACTCTCAGGCTTTCACTCCGCACAGCAAGTACTTAAAACCCTATCTGTACTGGACACAAGCAGCTGCTCTAGCAATCAGAAGCAGAAAGTTTAAGTGTGAAAAAGTAAACTGTTTACACTCCTCGAGGCAAGGAACATACCCGCTCCAATCGTTTCGTACAGTTCATAGTACTGCAGAAGTTCCTCATAGTCACCCACAGCCATATCTGACAGAGGCCCAGTAGTACTGCTGAACACCTGAAGGGAAATCATACAGCGCCATAAGGCTTTTAACACATTTCTTCCACTCGAGCAACAAAACAGTTAGGAAGTCCCGGCGAGCCCCAGCCTACGAACCAGACGCGCACTACACCTCCCGCAAGCCAGCCCGAAGGCCGAGGCTCACTGCTTGCCAACCCCCCTGCCAGGTCCAGCTGCACCGTGCCAGCCCCCGGTGGGGTCACGCCCCGCCCTTTGCCTCACCGACACAGGCCGCAGTAGATAACACGAAGGCGAGGGCCGCCACTTCAACCTCCGCCGTTACTTATCACCGCTACTTGCCGGCGAACAAAGCCGGCTTCACATTTCCCAAGCCACTCCCGACCCGTTCCCGCACTTCCCAGCGCCGGGCCACAGGTCCCGCCACCACCCCACAAATTCAGGCGCAAGTGGCACCAAGCATCTCACCAGGCGCCGGCGGGGGAGCGCGGGCCGCGAACGACACACAGGCTCGGAACCGCGGAGGGAAACCGACACAGCTGCGTCGACCGTTTAAATTTCCCACTTGGCCCACCCACTTCCGTCCCCGCGAGCAGCCGGCCAATCAAAACAGAGCTGCATTCCGGAAGGAGCGGGGCCCGGCCCGGAGCATCACGGGAAGGAGGTCAGAGAGGCCCCGGTTAGGCGCCATGTCAAGAGTGGTTGTTCTCGGGGCGGGGGCTCTAGCGTACGTCACGACGCCACCTTTGTGCTAGGGTTTGCGCCGGGGGCTGCTTCTGAAAATGAGTGGCAGCTAGCGTGCCCAATAGGAAATGGTGGGGGGCGGAGCGGGGGCTGCGGTGCACCAATCCGGGCGTGTTGCTTCGGGTGCTTTGTTGTGTGCCAAGCACGTGGGGGAGGGCAGCCCGGGGTTGGAGAATTTCTCTCAGCTGCTGAGCAGCCCTAATCCACTACCGCTTCTAGTAACAGCATTCACTTGAGGGCGTTGGGAGAGTGAAGAAACCAGCTGTACACGCCCCCACCCCGGTATTCACAATCTTAAAATCAAATGGAGAGAGGCAGAGACCATAAAGTAGTTTGCAAATGATCATTTTAAAGGCGTTGCAAGCGCTAATGAAGCCAAAGGAAAAAAAGATTCAGAGGCACATGACATTTTCAAGTGTGCAGCAAACAGTAGGACTAGATTCATATGGGGGAAAAGTGAACGCTGAAGCGAAGAAATAATATAAATTAAGGGCTGGAACAGACCTTGACAGGTCATGGAGTCCAACTCCCCCCTGCTCTGGGCAGGAATATTGCTGAGATCAAATGATCCCAGCCAGGTGTCTGTCCTGTCTCCTCTTGAAGACTTCCAAGGTTGGGGATGGGACCACCTCCTCAGCTAGTCTGTTTCAGGTTCTGGTCACCCTTACTATAAAGAAGTTCTTCTTTACAGCCAGGTTTTGAGAAGACAGTCTTGCAAGCATATTAAGTTAGGACCATACTGAGAATTTCTAATGCCAAATGAAACAATGGGAGTGACAATCACTAGCAAATCTGATATCCGTTTGCAGTGTTGTTCTGAGTCCGTAAGAAATTAGCTTTATTTTTTGGAAGAAAAATGCTTTAAATGTATCTTCTCCCCCTGGAATTCTAAGCATAACCCGTTTTCTTTTTTGCATCTATCTAGCAAGCCTGTGTAAACTTTCAGAGCTAGAGATTCAAACCAAGACTGAAATGATGTGTAGAAGGCTGTCTTGTATACAATCAGTACAATTTTACTGATTTTTGTATATACGGTCTCTTTAAATTAATGTTTCACATGTATCAGCATGCAGCAGCTAAAATTGTCTGATGTTCATGTCCTTTCCTAGGCTCGAGTATATCTCCAGGTAGATGTTAAATACATTTGTCAAAATGGTGATAATGAAGTGATTTTATTTGCAAATATTCTTGTATTGGAATGAATACTTTTCAGTCAAGAAGAAATGTTTCAGTATGCACAGGGCAATTCCACCAGAGCTCACATATATAGGTCTCTGTCAGTCTCTTTTGGAAAGTTCATTGCTTATGGCTACTTTTCTCTTCTTAGAATGAACCTTGGGAGATTTTTAATGGGAACACATAGGCTACTGGAAATAACAGTAGCAGTCTTTCAGGAAAGAATACTTATAGGTTAAAAGGAAACACAAATTATTGTGTTCCTGAAAACAGTAATACAGTGAATAAATTCCCTGTGGGCAGTGGCAGCTCGCCTCCCCCCCTGCTGCCGCCATCTGTGAGCAGTCTGTGATCGCCGCTGGCCACCAACCACTGGTTGACTCTCACTGCCCTCCCTCCCCTACTGCCGACAGCACTGCGGCTGCCTGCGGGAGCTCCACACTGGCAGTCACCATGCTCCCACCACTGACAGCACCACCACCACCTGCAGGAGCTCACCGTGCCCCCGTCCCCAGGCTCCGGGGGCACACGGTGTTCATGCCTGCAGCCACCAGACCCTTGCTGCCACTGGACACCTTACCTCTGCTTTCAGACCCACTGTAGTTACTGCTCATCCTGTGGATCTGCCCCAGCAAAAGCTCCAGACTTGGCTCTGGCCCCAACCCAGGCCCCCAGGCTGGAGCCACAGCCATGGCCTGCCTGCTGCTACTGCTAGTGTCTGGTTGGGCAAAGGCAAGAGCCACCATGTGCTCCATGTCCATGGTCAAGCCACTGCACAGGGTAAGTGGTGGCAGGGAAGGCAAGTGGCTATGGGACTTGTGATTGCCAGGGTGGGGAGAGTAGTCACTGGAGGGGGCAAGTGGCAGGGACAACAGGCAGTGTGGGAAAAGACATGGGGTGGCAAGCAGGGGGAAGTGGCTGGGGGCATGGGCAGAGGGGGAGAGGCGGGAGTCTGTTTTCCCCACTGCAGCTATTGCAGGTAGGGGAGCACATTTAAGATGAGCTTCCAGTAAATGCATTCTATTAATAGAAAATTACTGTATTTTCTCAAATCCTAGAGGAGGTTTTTTCCCCTCGTCCAGTATGAGGAAAAACAAACAAACAAACCTCATCTTGGATTCAAGTACCAGTGCTCCATCTCCAGAGCCCAGGAAAGAACTGGAGCTGCTGCTGCCTGGAGCCAGCAGCCATGAAGTTAGCAATAACGTGGTGAGTGCAAATCAGGGGCTAGTGGCTAGAGTCCAAGCTCAGGAAGCTGCAGAAGTCAGGGATTGGGCAAGGGATGTGGCAGCAACACCTGTTGTGAAATGGGTAGGGGATGGGCAGCAGAGCAGGTTGGGGATTTGGCAGGGATGGGGCAGCAGCATGCACTGACTGGGCAGGGGATCAGTTGGCAGTGCATTAGGGGATGGGGCAGCAGTGCATATTGCTGATTCGGTGGGGGATTGGGAAGCAGCATGCATTGGGGGATGGAGCAGCAGCATGTGAGGGGATGGGACAGCAGTGTGTTGAGGGTTGGGGCAGTAGCTTGCG